CATTAGGCCCATTGCTTGAGTCCAGGATTCAGTGGTTGCCAGGTCTGGCCAACATTTGATGCTGCACCATAAGCACAGGCCACTATGTTGCGTGTGTGTTGAAACTCAGCTTTGTGGGGTTATGTAACAACTCAGAGTTGTACCAACCAGAGGCTGGTTGATTGCAGAGGCTGGAGGTTTCTCTCGTGTTGCTGAATTACAAAAGTGAATTTAGGGCCCATCTGCAGTCCAGTTGGAAGGTGCCAAAAAGTGAAGCATTGTGTTGATGATTACTAGCTTGGGACTCCACAGATAGAGGGTGCGATTGCTTACAACAAAATGCAAGGACTTGCTGGGTAGCCTAATAATGCAGCTGCCATTGTAGTTAACATCATGTACTTGCATAGTCCCCTAACAATGCGTGTGGTTGTAAGCGAGCAGACCTTGGCCAGGACCAGTAGGTCCAATACGTTTCATTGAAGGGAGGCTCTGTGCCCGGTGTTCCCACAGATTTCCTAATGACACCCATGTGCCTTGTGTCTCCTGCAGTGATGTAGTCCACAAATACCAGGGGAGTCACTTCAGCAGTGCTTTTGACAGATATGGATTCCCATGTGGGATATTTCCCCCCCCCCAAAAAAAATTTTTTTTTCTCTTTTCGGCTCTAGGGAATGAAAGTTGTCATTCATCATACTCATTGTGCTGGCACCCCTCCCAGTGAGCCTCCCAAGTGGCCTGATGCTGCCATAGGGGAGAGGCTGAGCACGGATGCCCAGCTCAATTAGACTTGTCAACCACTTACCCTCTTCAGGTCACACAATGTCTGTGTGAGGTATGAGGTTAGGATCACCTGAACTTGAGCACACACCTCATCCCAGATTACAGCTTGGCATGCTTCTTGCACAGGTTGTGTTAGAGCCCTAGTGAGATTAGTGGGGTCAGTTGTGCGCTGCCTATTACCCTGCCTTGGTTGCAGCAAGTCTGCTTGTGTAAAAGTAGGGCTCCTCTAGTTAACTACCCCCTTGGCTTCATTATTTGATCTATTTTTTTCCCCTACCGCTTCTGCCATATTCCATGTTGAGAGCCCTACACCTGCATTAGCACCATCACATAAGCCTTTTTTATGGCATTTCCTACCCCTTAAATATCATAGGCACTCACAGAGCAGAAGGCTTCCAGCAACTTTAGCTCCCTTGGTGCAGCTGGGGTAGCGCTTATACACAAACCAGGATAGATGTCCTCCTGGGCTCTGGGCAGGTGCACCTTCCACAACACAGGCCTCTCTCCCTCTTTACGTAGCCTCCTAGGTAAACTCAGATTCACTTGAGCAGAACAGCATTTGGACCCTGCAACTAATGTTAGTAACCAAGGTAGAGTCCTGTACATATCACTGTTTGGGGTGGGAGGTTGACATTTTTGCACCTGAATTGCAAACAATGTAAGCAGTATATGCCTAGTTGAGCTGTCATCTCTTAGGGTACCCCGCAATTTCATTTCTCTGTTCTTAGGTGGGGGAGGCTTGCTTCCCTCACTGCACTAGCACCGTAGCAGGCTTGGGATGAGTATGTGGCTGAAGGCTTCATACAAGAGCCTCCACGTATAGGTTCTGTTTCCCTGTAACAATCTCCCTTCCCCTTCCTGATGGTTGACTGTTGCATGGATTTCGTTAAATGCTAGCATGTTTCCCCAGTGGTTGTTTTGCTCTCCACAGCCAATATCTTTTTACATCACACTGTTTCCACAAGGTTCGTCCATGAGTGCATGACAAAGGCGTCCCACCTGTCTACCCCAGGTGGCTGGGGTAGTCAAGCAGGCAGGGCTCAGATGGGGTAATTTGAAAGGAAGAGGGGAGAATGGTACAGCTAGAACAATCTCTCTTAGGGCCACATCCTTCTCTTATTGGGTTATAAGCCAAGAAACCTAGGTTTCTACTTGAGAAATCTAAAAATTACCCAGTCCGACGACAACAACAAGAAGTACCGCCTCGCCAGTCCGCTCTCTGCCCATGCCTGTGCCAGGTCCAAGCTTGTACTTCAGTGATGGGGGCTGCGGCTGCTTCTCTTGGGTCATCTTGTTTGGTTGGGTCTAGTTCTTACTTTTTAGGACCATAGCCCACCCACCACCATGACCTGGATCTTGCACAATAGGGCAGTATTCATATGGTGTAGGCAGACTTGCCTGTCCACCCTGCTCTGCAGCAGAGCTGGACAGCACATCCAACGGACACATCTAGCCATGCTATCCCTCCCTTCACTAGATAAGGCTCATAGTGGCTATTTGGGTATGTGTTGTAGCGGTAATGACAGAGGAGTGGAAAAGGACTGCACTTATCACTGGTGTCACAGGAATATGGGAGTTAGTGCAGGGTCCTGCCTTGTTCCAGTCCCGCATAGGTAGCAGCTGACCCTCTATTGTATCTTTTCATAGTCACTGATCTGGGAGATTGCTGGCTTTAGCAGTTAGCTGTAAAACAAAGCAGAATTCATTTTTCCCTGGCCCAAATTCTACAGTTTATAGGATTCCTCTTCCCATGAATCACCCTTGTTAGGCAAAGGTATGACGTAGCTTGCCTTCATCACTCTTTTACCAGTATGTGTTTTGCTGGAGTCATCCATGAAACATTGTGTACTTCCGATCCACCTCTATTTTATCATGGAGAGGGGCCTCTAAGATGTGACTGCTTCAGGGAAGGCTTCTTGCTGCTCTTTAAGTACACGTACACTGTGTTTCAGAAAGTTTTTGCACTAACAGAGTTAACATCCCTCTGACCCTATCTATCTATCTATCTCCTGCATATTTGGGGCTTCTTTTGAGGGTATAAAGGTGCCCCTTCCCTAGGCAATGGGAGGCAAACTTGTATCTTCCTCTCTGCAGTTAACAGGGCCCGTGCCACCACAGTTGGGCTGCGGGTGTTCACTAGTCAGTCTCCTGTAAGGGATCCTGTCTGTTGTAGCACCCACATTGCAGTGAGCACTGCTCTGGTGCAGGGTGTACACCTTGTTCACATTTGTCCAAAAAGGAGGAGTAAAACCCTAAGGGAGCACTTCTTCCCTTGCTTGGTGCACCATCGGTTTGTGGCTTTGCTGCCATCAGCCACCTGTCACCAGCCCGATCTGGCCACCCCCTGTTCTGCCAGTCAGAGCCCACAGACCTCTTTTATTGCCCTGAAAAACATCTGCTCAGAGGCCTCTATAAAACACAAATGCTCAAAGGCCATATTCTTAAACTCTTTGGGAAGGGTAGGGGGAGGAATCCAAACCTCCACGTATGTCCAGAGCACACTCAAGCCTTGATACTAAAATGACTGTATTTGGGAGCTCAGAGCAGAAACCGGAAGACCTTGGTTCAAACCTGTCTTCTTCAGCAGATCCTAAAAACCATGGCTTCTATGCTCCAAGTTGGTAACTTAACCGCAAAGTTGTTGGCCACCACAGAGAGGTGGGATCTCTCAAACTGTCCCCTTGGCCTAGTTTTGCTTATCATAAAATACATGTAAATGTGTACCCGAGCAGTGGCTTGAGCTTGTATTTTTCACCTCCCTAAGTACCTCTGCTCACACTGAGGTTGAGGAGAAAGCTCCCAAGGGGCAGGCTGAGCTAGCAGCATAAGGCCAGCACTCACTTGGGCTTCCTGCTGTGGCTGCGAGGAAACCCAAAGGCACAACTGGGGAGCCTCCTACCCTGGGACTTTGGGTAGACAGTGGGTTTTTTTTTTCCCCTCTCTCCTGTTCTCACAAAGAGGATAGGAAAACCAGGCACTGAGTCGTTCCACGGGAAGCCGTTCCTATTTCATCACCTAACCTGATGAGCCTTCACTGATGGGTGGCTAGATGTAGGCGTCGGCCTCTGGCCCGGCGCACCGTGTTGGGCATCACCCCTTTCCTTGCAGTTCTGATGAATATTTGCAGTTCCTCAGGTCATTTGTAGGGGTCCTTCTAGAGATGGAGACTCTCTCAGCTGGATGCATGACACAGCCTGTTATGCCAGTGGCACTGAGGAGTTAGGTACTGTGACGTAGAGTTGGAAAAGGCACATACACACAGGCTCCTGACAACCTGACCCTTCATTAAATTCACTGCATTCACTAAAGCGGATCACATGAGGAATTTAGTCTGTGGGAAGTTTTGAGATTTCAAAATGTGATTTTATTCCAAATCACAATGAAAAGTTGAAATCTCAGAACGTTTCAGAAAAATGTGCTCAATTTCATCCTCCTTGAAGAGTTTCATTATGTCAGTGTCAAAACATTTCATTGACTTTAACAGTTAATTTACTTGAATAATTTATCTCTGGTAGAATATATATCAAGTGCAAAATGAAATAGATATTTTAACTTTATAGAAAGAAAATGCATTAATAAATTTCCTGTGAATAACATTATACCTCTATTCTGATCTATTTCTATCCAATCTAAGCAGCATCTTTGTGACACAAAAGTTCTATGAGAAAATTTTCAAAAGCTCTAAGACTTGTCCCCGAAAAGCATTACAAAACAGGCATTCAGACAGGAATAATAACTCAGCCTGGCACCCCAGGAAACTCCTCCTTCTGTCCTGCCCAAGAAACGTATTGATAGGTGGCTTTAGCAATAGTAACCACTGCAGGTTTAGAGAGACAACAATTAACAATTAGAATCAGAGAAATGTATCAGAGAAACTTCATTCACTTGCTGCTTTGCTAGGAAGTGGCTGTATAACCTCTTTACAGGTGGTTCATCCGCCCATGGTTTTCTTTCCTTCAATTTTGACAGGGCTCATTCAGTGTTGAAAGATGTGCCAGAATGCCATCAGGTGTAAGCAAGAGACACCTACACAGATACAGCTCATTACTTTGTTCCTAAATAAGTTTCCATTATGATCCAAACCATTCTATTATCCCTGATTTTTGGGTGTGCTGTGTATACTCTCTGAAGTAACGGACAGGGTAGCTTGCATGTGTCTAATGTTTTTGAACCACAAATTGACAAATTTCCCTCGATGAAAATTGACATATGACAAAATATTTTCTGTTTTTCCCAAACAGCTAATATGCCAGAGGATTATCCAGATCAGTTTGATGAGGTAGTGGACTTTATTCAAGCCACTATTAAAAGACTGAGGAGGTCACCAGATAAACAAACTCCGATTTTTTCTAGGCGGGAGAGAAATCGGCAAAAAGCAGCCACAAACGTAGAGATTTCCAGCAAAAGGGAAAGGAGCCAAAGGGGTCAAAGGGGCAAAAATCGAGGATGTGTCTTAACAGAAATACATTTAAACGTGACTGACTTGGATTTGGGATATGAAACCAAAGAAGAGCTAATTTTCCGGTATTGCAGTGGATCTTGTGATGCAGCCGAGACCACGTACGACAAAATTTTAAAAAATTTAACCAGAAAGAAAAAGCTAGTCAATGACAAAGTGAGGCAAGCTTGTTGCAGACCCACAGCCTTTGATGATGACCTGTCATTTTTGGACGATAACTTGGTTTACCATATACTGAAAAAACATTCCGCAAAAAGGTGTGGATGTCCCAAGGAAACATCTGCTCAGAACGGAGAAAAGAGGACCAAGGACGCAGAACAAGTGGTCATGGGAGCCCAGTTGGGCATGAGGCAACGTAGAAAAACGGAGGCTCTTTAAGTCCGATGGGAAAGTAAATAAAAGCTCAGGTGGCGTTCTCGATGGCTGGATGGCGTGTGCGCTCTCTTTCCTGTTTGACACAGTCTGCCATCGGTGAGACTTGGATCCATGAGGAACGTGCTTAAAAACACAACCCTTCACTGCCATGTAGTGTTGTAGCTTTCACCATCCGTCCCAGGGAGCTTGCCTAAGGAGCAAGCTTACCCATCAGCTGTGCCATCAACTTTGCTATTGCTCATTGGAGGGCAGTTCCTAAGCACTTAGGACAACTTTTAAATTATAGTAAGATTAATCTCATAAGGAAGGTGGTATCAGGCAAATATCAAAATTCATAGGCTCTAGGTCTCTAGGGCCAGTATCAATATAAGGCAAAACAGTTCCACTTACTGGTTAAGTCTGGTTATTTCCATCTCATATTTCTTCAGAACAATCAAGTGCAGGATTTCGTTCTTCTGCTACCTACGAAAAGAAGTTGAGTTTTTAAGCACTTCTTCCTGCTAAAGTAAGAGAAATAGCAAGTCCTGGCCTATACAAAACATGTTTCTTTTGGTTTACAAAGGACTGATGTCACTTACATAACTACATTTATATTTGGTCATTGTGAGTGAGCAGAGACTACTTGATGCAATGCATCCGTTCAGAGACATAAATATACAGAAGATATTTATTGAGATTAAGTTATTGTTATTTATTACAGTCAGTAATGAGTCTCCTTTCCTTATTTATTAAAGTTTCTTTTCAAAGGTGCCAAAGTAGAAGGTGCTTGGAAGATACAGAGAGACAATTAAGTTGGGAACAACGGTCCATGCTTTTGAAAGTATTAACTTGAATGCAAAAAATCACTTACTTTACCTTTTTTTCTTTTAAACAAAACCCTGGTTATGTTCACAAAATGCAGTACCAAAGCCTGCAGCCCTTCCTCTTGTTCACTAATACTTTTAAAAATCACTGCAGTCCTATATGTGCAGGAGCAAAAAGGGCTCTGCCCAAGTGAGGGTTGCAGAACTTGGCTCATCATTAGCAATTTGTTAGAAAACTAAATCTAGCCATTTTAAATGTAGCCACATTCTTTTCACACTTTTTGCCAACTGACCTCATACAAGTTTTGACAAATGGAAATTAATCACATTTAGCCTTATAATTTCTTGTTATATTTATTTAAGCTTTTCCTTCCGTATTTCCATATAGGAAAGGTTAAATCCCTCTTATTAGTTAGTCCTGGATTTAATATAACCTGCAAGTAAACAGTTGTGTTAAATAACCAAAGTTTTGTATAATTTGCTGAAATGTTACAGGATCATACCCACACAGAAGAAGGAACAGTCTGAGCTTCTCTCTGGAGCATTTCTTTATGATGAGAGAGGTTATACAGCAAAGGCATAAATATCTAACCCTTAATGCAAGCTCTCATACTGGAGGTTTCTCTCCTGAAGGACAGCAGCAGTGCAGGTCACTAGACATATCTGACAACTGAAGTGAAGTGCAGTGAAGTTTCACTCCCGCAAAAAGAATAGGAAAAAAATTCCTACTGAAAAACAAAAATGATGGCCCCCACCTTTTATTTCATGCAATGTGCATGGCAGAGCTATGGCTCTTCATATTTCTTTAGTCCTGGTACCCTCTGGGCACTGTAGAAGAAGGGTCTAGTCATCAGAAAATTCACAACACACATAGAAAGACATACCATGTATTAGAAATGTAATTCAGCCCCAACCTCTGCCGCTTTCCGGGAGGGATGGGTGGCACCGAGCCAGCGTGAGAGCTGGCCTGCAGGCATGGCCCTGCCCGGAGCCTCCCCAATGTGCAGCGCATCCCTTCTCGCACTGCGGCTGTCCCGTGTAACCTCTGTGTGGGACAGGGCATGGCAGTCCTAGTATCACCATCAGTATCTGCATACTTTGCATATTTATTTGCATAAAACCCTATTAAGCCTGGACACAGCTGCACTGCTGGGCAGATTAGTTGAGTGCAGCAGTCAGAGATAAGCTTTCGCTTCCCCAAATATAGCACTGGTTGTTGAAAACTTGCTCCCAAGCATTTTTCTGTGCAGCTCAAAGAGGCTGCAATCATAGCAGATCACTATGTTCAAAACACAAAAGGGTAAAGTTTGTGATTTTTTTTTTTTTTTTAGACCTTATTGAAAACAGGAGTGTGCTTCTCTGGAGTTTTTTACTTCACCTACAGTTTATGTCTCAGTCATTTGTGTTAATCAACCAAAGTTCTCTACAGACTTTATTTTTGTACAATATTCATTTTATAACTTTTTACAAAATAAAATTCATTTCTATTGTTACCTGGCTGTTGTGCTTCTTCCCCATTCCACTGCTTTGGAGTTGTAACGTCACCTTGTTGCCAATCCATGTGGGACAATGCTGGAGGAGCAGCAGAGCTTTCCTCTTCTGTCTCCCGCCCCGCTTTCACATGCGTCAGAGATGCCTGTCGCCCCTTAGCAAAGCCCACGTTAATGGGCAACGTGACTGCAGAGAAGTGACTCTGTAGCAGAGAAGAGACTCGGTGGCAGGCTTGAACCCTGGTGTCACCCGAGCTGTCCCTTGCCCCTGCCGGGCTCAGCAGCGACGCAGTGGCCTTGACTAGGCACGGCTGCAATTCCACCACTCAGAGGTGATTTGCCTTTTGCTTTTCTAACAGACGTTACACCAGTTGAACTAAATTCCATTGGCTTTGGCAGTCATTTTTCCTTTTTCTTTAAATAGGAAAATACCATTTGAAGATTCTTCTTTTCCTCTACCATCATGGAAAAGATGAAGGTAGGTTTTGTGGCTGTAGCTAGTAATATTTTCTCAACTATTTTGTGTTAAATGTTGCAGTTCCCATCACAGAGTCAAAAAACACATGCAGTTACAGATTTTGATGCTGGGCTCTGTGCACTCCTAGAAACTAAGAAAAGGAAGGGTAAGCGTCTGAGCAGTGAGCTAGTGAGCTGGAGGCTTCAAGGGCTCATTCCAGATCAAACACTTTTTCTCTTAATGTACAGCATATGGATGCCTTGGTTTCATTTGCGACAAGCAAGGCCATGCACGCAGCTCTAGCCCAGCCATTCGAACTCAAAGCAAAGCTAGCGACTGCTGGGGCTCCCTTTTGAAGCTCACGGTATTCAAGGCATTGCTCCTTGCATGCCACCGCCTTTCCTCCTCACAGAAAAAGCCCATCCACCGTGCAGAAAGGCTGTTGATTGCAGTCTGGTTGAATATGGCTCACATTAAGTGTTTGGCACGAAAATGACCTGCAGTTTCACATTCAGCAGAGCTCACGCACTTTCCAAAGAGCTGCAGTGCATGTCTGTGTAAAACATAACTGTGAGATGCTCTGAAGATGAATTGCTGATCTTGCAGCCCAAATCCTTCTCAGCTCCTCTTATGTGGAGGGAGAAGCGCTAGCACAATGCTGAAGTTCTGCTTGGCTTTATCAGAGGCTCACAGCGGGCTGTGTGGGGTGGCAGGAGTAGGTTTGCTTACGTGAAGCTCTTTTGTCCTCCTTCCTCAATCTTTCTGGGGAGGCGAACATCAGATAGAGCAGTTAGGTATTGTCATTTTAAGCTCAGGCTCACCACCGCTGGGCTGGCACTTGCAGCCTTGTTTTCTGGTTAGAGTAAGGACTGCATCCTGAATGCACTAAAGCAGCTTGAAATGTTCAGCTGTCAGGTTGTATAAGTGTAAAAGATTACAGAAAGGACCTAACAAACTCCCTTTTGTCACTAGGTATTACTGACACCGAGAGAGACATTATGTCGCTGTGTGTGTAGCAGGGACAACATTATTACGGGTCCACTCTAGAAAGAGAAGACCAGTATCTAGTCTGAGCAAATGATTTGCAGTGGAGGGGTTGGACCAAAACCCCATAACTCTTTACACTTATTTGATCCTAAAATCAAGAGGACATAAGTTCAACTACTCAAGATCCTAATAAGGGCTTTTTTGTTGTTTTGCTTTGGTTTTTTTTTTTTTTTGTATTAGTTAGCATTGTGCTGTTAGGCAAGAGGGGGATGATTAGGGGCTCGGAATATATTATGAATGGCTGAAGGATAATGCAGCTATTTTGCAGGAGGGCATGTTTGTTGATGCAACCTGGAACTTTTACTGGCTCTCGGAGGGCACCATCCAGGAGAAAGGATTGCAGCTGCCTACACCACACAGGTAAGGTCGCAGCTAGGCAGAGGCACGGCTGGCTGAGGGAAGGGCAGTGAGAGGCAAGGAGGCTACAGTGAAATTTGTAATATCAGGTCCCCCTGCAAACTCTCAGTAAGCTCTGTCCCACAGCTGCCTAGTAGTATCGGTCTCATTGCAGAGCGGATGAAATAGGCAAAACTTTGTTTGAATTTGGGTTGTTTCACCTTTGCCCGCTAAAAGGAAGAAAGAACAAAGGCAGCCAGTGCTGGGGTCCTTAACAGAGCAGGAGGAAACCAGAAGCAGCCTTGCTCCTTGCAGTCTGCATGGCTAACCAGAAATACAGAGGAAAATATCAGGACGAAGAAAACAAATGGAGCTGACATACTGTATAAATAGGTCTTCAAATGTCATATGTGGCTGGAACAAAGATGTTTTGTTCCAGAGCAAGAGAGAGCTTGAAATGGCTCAGTAATACACATTGAGAGGTTTGCTTATTTGGAACAGTCCTCTTCTAATGAAAAGGTTAATTGTGTTGCAATGGAAAAGAAAAAAGGCTAAGTAGAGGCCAGGCCTGCACTCCTCACCCTAGCAAAATTTCCCACTGGCTTCAAGTGAAGACTTTCTCTAGCAAACATCACAGGACTGAATCACTAAAATTACAATAAATTTACAGTAGGTATATTCACGGGTCAATAAAAATGACTAAACAAACCATATATTCTAGCAGTATTAATCGCAGTAGCTTTCAGAAGAGCTACAGCAGCAGCCAGCAAGAGGACACAGTGCTGGGCTCAGCCTAATGCCGGGAAGTTTCCTTACACAGGCACGCTAGCAGACAGTGCCGGTACTCGAGGTCAGCACAAACACCTTTTA